TATTTCTGTCATGACAACTCTCGGAGGGATTGGCATGATAATGTACATGACAACGTTAATGTATTTGGTCTTGGTGGAATAGATCTGCTACGCTGCTGCTGCGAAAGAGCAAGTACCGAGACTTGCTACTGCCAATACATCCACAAAATGCTGCTGTGAGCATGTAAGAAATATTGCTGCTGCAAATATAACATACATGAATGAAATAACCCCCATATAGCGTACATGAATCACCTCGTAGCAGATCTATACAGGTGGAGCAAGCCGCAACTGCTACGGCAAGCACTAGTCATATATTTGAATGTTGAGCAGCGAGCTCATTGGCTACCGATACAGGAGAGAACCAGTCAGCTGTACCATGTGATAATGATGTCATTAGGTCAGATTGAGTTAGACCATGCGCCATCTAGAGTTTCATGCCAGAACTCTGTATTTGCATATGCAAGTGATTTTCTTGACATGTGCAGGGTTGTTTAAAACACAAATACACATCGAGATTTATTTATAAGCGTGTTTATTATCATTGATTTACTATTGTAGTTTTTTGTTTTCTGTCACTTTCATTTTAGTTATAGTAATTTTGATGGTTTTTCATTAGTTTTTTTTAAATGTCTAAATAGTTTTTATTTATTAGATTTAGTTATTTTAGCACCTCAAGCAAAAATAAAAAAAATATTGCCTTGGCAGCTAGCTAGAATAAAACAAGTTAACTGTTTATGTAGTCATTTTACTAATTTAATTTCAGTTATTATTTAGTTTCAAGTAACAAATGTTTTTATGCTTTAAGTTTTAACCCTGGTTTGAAATCAGCTGCCTGTCAGTTGACAAAATTGGGTCAGGAGGACTGTTATCGATTATGTAACATTTTTACAGTTTCTTTATTGACTTGGAACCAGATTACCAATACTTTTGACCTCACTATTCACAAATACTTGTTCCTAAATGGTAACAGGAGCTGTCTTCCTTTCCCCTGCAGGCTTCTCCCACTCAGCGTTCACCTTTGGCATAGAGAGCCACATCAGCCAGTCCAACATCAACGGAGCTCTGGTGCCCCCTGCTGCCCTAATCTCCATCATCCAGAAAGGCCTGCAGTATGTGGAGGCTGAAGTCAGCATCAATGAGGTCAGCGCTGGTACTGCTACCAGATATGGATATTTCACAATTTGCCCATTACTTATGCAAGATGCGCTGAATCTGAAAAAATGTACTCAACCTTCTTGTACCTGTTGTGTAACATGTCACAGGATGGTACTCTGTTTGATGGACGACCAATCGAGTCGCTGTCGTTGATTGATGCAGTGATGCCAGACGTGGTGCAAACGAGGCAGCAGGTGTATAAGGATAAGCTGGCTCAGCAGCAAGCTGCCGCCACCTCCAGCACCACAGCGGCCGCCACTGCAAAGAACGGAGAGAACACGGCTAATGGAGAGGAGAACGGATCTCACACGCTGTCTAGTAAGCTCACACCCTACATTATTTGTCAAAACTGTTGGAATTGTCAATAAGGAATACTATTTAGTCCATAACATGGTTGAACCTGTGACCAAAAACCACAAAAAAAAAATTGTCAGCATTTACCTACCCTTGTGAGGGCTTTTCACAATATTAATTATTAATGATTAGCCATTACCCCCTGGTCATTCTCAACCCTGGGTTATTGTTTTCAGTCTTTACCCTGGGTTAGGAATTAATCCTGGATTGTCAGGTTGCGAGTTTTCACACAGTACATTTGTAAACCCCAGATTAATGTTCTTTGCATATTTGTGGCATCGATAAAATGTATTGGACAAATACAGCATGTGACCTGTTTAAATAACATCTGGTCTCTGGTTTTTGCTGATATACCATCAGTTTGTCCTGACTCCTGAATAGACATTTCCGACCATAACCAGTGTTTTTTTTTAGAGATAATACAATTATAGTATTTATATATATTTTGGATTAGCTTGTATTTGCTAGATTTTGAATTTTTATTTTAGTTTTAGTTATTGCTATTTTCTTTTTTTCTGTTTAGCTTTATTTATTTTTTATTTTTTTTAATAACCTAACTCAAGCTTATTTTAGTTTAGTTCTAATTTTTAAGTTTAAAAAAGGTGCATTTTTAAAGAACATCATGGCTGTTCAGTTACATATATGAATAAAGCACATTGGTTGTCTTTAGGATGAATGATGTTTGGGGGTGGGAATCTTTAAACACCTCACAATCACATTCCAATTCTGATCCATTTCTAAAACAATTCTTAAAGGTGTAATAGGTGATTGTCTTCAGAAACATTTTATGTTATGCTGGTTGAAAGGAACTGGTATCATGGCGGAATATCCGGTGATGTACACTTCCCAGGGCACTCACGGTCGAATATAACGTTGCACGTGATAAGAGATACATATGAAATCTGCAGAGCAGGAGGGCGCGAGGATTGGAATTGGGAACCGCTGATGTAGCCTATTGTAATGTTGTCTCTGGTGTTCTGGTCTGTGAGCGTAAATGCATTCAGAGGGCGTGGCTTTGGATGGCGATTGCAGGGAGGGTGGGACCTTCGCTTTCAGTGCTATCAGGCTAAAGTTAGCATTTTCCAAGATCTCCTACTACACCTTTAACTTACTTTTTATTATTATTCATTAAGATAACAGACTTGAAATATCAAATTTATTTGTGCAGTTTTATTAAATTACTTTTAGAATTCAAATTGCTTCTTAAAATAATTACAAATGAATATTAAATCAAAACATGTTGAGAATTATTAACTAAACTAAATAAAGATTCAAAACATCTAAGCAAGTATAAATAAAGGGGAACAAAAAAACACATTACAAGCAATGAACAAAATGTGTTTTCAGTGTCTGAGAGTGTTTTAAGTATCTAAATTTTTCCAGACAAGCACAATTTTGTTTTTTATCAGCATTATTGCTGTCTGATTATTACTGCTAACGTCATAGACGGCTGCAATACTAATAGGCTGTAGTTCCACTAATGCACAAATCTATTTTAACATATCAATGTTGTATCCTGTCCTAACTGACATAAGACATAACTGACTGTGTTTACATTAAAATCACAATCACATAACTGCTTACATGAAGTCACACACAACCTTATGCTGCAAACTCACTTCAGAACGAAGACACAAAGTGCACTTGAGCATTTGAAAGCAGATGTCTGTCAGTAAGTAAGCTTAGTGTATCAAATTATAACTGCATTCCAAGCAGCATAAAAGATGCCTTCGTAGAGCATTTGGAAAGAAAAGCACTGAAACCTCACACGCTCAAGCAAAGTTTCTCACAATGTATATACTGTGCAATAAAGTCTATGATTTTCTTGTATTTGGTTTCAGCCATGAAAATAAGTTTATTTACTTGATGGTTTTGTGTGTTTTGGGGCATAATTGGCAGCAAACAGAGTACAGCTGTCTCTAGTGTACACACGTGTCATCTCACATACACAGAAAAAAACTATCTCAGAAACATAGAAGAGTGAATTGTGATCCATTGTAGAATCTACTGTTGTTGTCCCTCCCCTAATAATGCCTCTTCTTTTGACAGATCACCACTCAGACATGATGGAGGTGGACAGGGCAGTGGAGATCCCAGCCAGTAAAGCCATGGTGCTGCGGGGACACGAGTCTGAGGTCTTCATCTGTGCTTGGAACCCTGTCAGTGAGCTGCTGGCGTCTGGGTCGGTATTAAGCCAAAGCCACAGTTTATTTTCTCAAACTGTGAATTTTAATACAAAGTTCTGTCATGAAACTCTAGATGGTTGCAGGATGATAGTTTCTATCTCAATCTGATATAATGACACCATTTTTCTCATGGCGCAGCTGACTGATTTCTTTCGCATCAGCAGCCAATGAGCTTGCTGCACAACATTCAAATACTTGGCTAGAGCTTGCTGTAGAAGTTGTAGTGCGCTTCAGAAACCCTCCTCCATCCCCATCTCCACCTGTGTAGATCTGCTACAGGGTAATTCATGTATGTTGTATTTAAAGGTCATTTTATATGTGCAGCTGCAGTATTTCTTACATCCTCTGTACAGCATGTGTGCGCATGTATTGGCTGTAGCAAGTCTCTGTATTTGCTCTGCAGCAGTGTAGCAGATCTATTCCACCAAGACCAAACACATTAACATTGCCATGCACATTACCATGCTAAACTTCCTGAGAGTTGTCATGACAGAAGTCCAGTTATTGTTTTGCATGTCTTAGCTTAAAGGGTCATGAAACCCCCCGTTTCAGCACTGGTTAGTTCTCACCACAGTTTAAAAAAATGCTAAAAATGCCATGTCGTGAGGACACTGTGTTTCTCCTTGTGAAAGCGAAACTACTTTGTTTGGCCTTCCAAAAGAGGACACGACTAGAAATCAGTGGTTAAGTTGCAAATACACAAAATAATGTTCTTTTTAGCAACATCATATGCAACAACATATGCAACAACATACACAAATAAATGCACAGCCATTTACACTCTGCATCGACAACATATATATGAATGCGCTGTTGCTCCTCTTAGAACTTTTAAGGCTTATTCTGTGGCGTTTATATAAGCCTTTTGACGGGTGTCAGAGCTGTAAAAACGGTTATGCTCACCAAGTGAATGAATCGCGTTTGTACTGAACTCTTATTACAAAGCAAAAACAAACACTCTTCGATCCATGAACGTTTCTCTCAGTTAATGTGCGCGATGTCATCTCACAGTCTGAAACGTCTGTCATAGCATATCAACACATGCTGTTGGGAATAATTAAGTGAAGCGTCTTCTCATTGGATAAGAACACGCAGTCTCATGAATAATTTAACAGGCACCGACGTGTCATCGATGTACTATTAGTCCACTGCCGCGTCACAAATTGTGACATATAGGATAAGAACATGCAGTCTCATGAATAATTTAATAGACACCGGCGCGTCATCGATGTAATATAGTCCATTGCCACGTCACAAATTGTGACGTCAACACAATGTAGACTTTAAACCCGGAAGATGAAAATAGCGCAAAAAAGCGTAAAATTAACCACTTTTCTCCAACAGTTAAAATTATCGGATGCTAACATTGTCTTCTATGATGTACAACACAAACACCTCTGCTAAAATCTTAGAAAAAATAGTCTGGGGTTTCATGACCCTTTAATGTCCTGTACTTTTTGAATGGGAATTCATCTCTGTGTTTTGTTGTTGCCATCAGCTCTGGAGACTCAACCGCACGGATCTGGAACCTGAGTGAGAGCAGCGCGGGAGGATCCACTCAGCTGGTGCTGCGGCACTGCATTCGGGAGGGAGGGCAGGATGTACCCAGTAACAAAGACGTCACCTCACTGGACTGGAATGTGAGTGCTGGGACTAGCGCTTATGAACTGCAGTAACCCTGCATGCAACTTTTGCATCTGAGCCTATTTCTTTATTCCAAACACTTCATACAAAGAACAAATTACTCAAATTCATATTTTTCTGTCTCTTGTGTTGGACAGAGTGAAGGTACACTTCTCGCCACAGGATCCTATGATGGCTTTGCCAGGATATGGACTAAAGATGGTGAGCTTTGTTAAATTACAAATCATTACATCATCAATTACAAAAATCTAATAAGTGTCCCATAACTTTCAGGTAATCTTGCCAGTACACTGGGGCAGCACAAAGGTCCCATATTTGCTTTAAAGTGGAACAAGAAAGGAAATTTTATCCTCAGCGCTGGTGTTGATAAGGTATAGTATAATCTTATATGATTATCATATACTGTCAAAATAAGATGATGTGGTGAGGTTGAGATGCTAATGTCAATCTGCACCTTTCAGACCACCATTATTTGGGATGCACACACGGGAGAGGCCAAACAGCAGTTTCCATTCCATTCAGGTGAGTAACAAAAATCATCACAAGCAGGACATGCATTTATCCAAAGCTGACCTTGACATTATTGCTAATCCAGTTGAAAACTGAGGGAAAACTCTTTGTTAAATTCACTAATTAATGCACAATAATGAACGCATGCATGGCAGGTTTTCTCAGCTGTATTGTTTGTGATGTGAACTGCAGAATCTTCGGTATAGCGATTAGCTGTGGGATTCTTTTTTAACGCCCACTGAGAAGGGTTCTTTATTATAGATAGAAATCTACTTTTGGTTTCAATTTAGAAAACGTTTTCCTTGTCACCCAAATGTGCCGGTTGTACATTAGCTAGTTTCAAAAGAATGGTCACGAATTATGTAATTTGCATTTGCCGCCTGCAGCTCCGGCTCTGGACGTGGACTGGCAGAGCAACAACACGTTTGCCTCCTGCAGCACGGACATGTGCATTTACGTGTGTAAACTGGGCCAGGACAGACCAGTCAAAACATTCCAGGGCCACACAGTAAGCCACTTACATTAGATATTCTACTATTGCATATATTCTCTTGTTAAAGCTTCATCAATATTTATTTATTTTTTTCTTTTTGCATTGACTGTTTGGTTTCCCAGAAACCCTAAAAAGTGATATTTTGACCCTGTAAAGAATTACATATGAAGTCAGAAATATCACTTTTTTTTAATCAAACTGTCTTTTGAACAATAAAAAAAAAAGCATGTGTGTGAGTGTACACATGCATACGTACATACATATATATCTATCTCACATTTGAGGCATTTATTTATTTATTTCTAAACTAAAAACATTTTGGTGGTCAGAACAAAGTTTCAATGCCAACAAAGGGGAAAAAAACTAAGAAATTATATAAATAAATAAATTTATAAATATATTTATTATTATTCATATTTAATCTAATGTAATATAATTTACACAGACATAAAAGAGATTGTGAATAAATAAAATTATAGTGGCAAAATCATTGTTACAGAACAGGCTGTGTATATAAAAAAAACATAGATATAATTATCTATCCCTGTAAATATATCTTAATAAAATGATCTTAAAGTTTTCAATTGTTTTAATTAGTGATTGAATGTTCATTTTTATTATGGTTGAAAATGCGTTACAATGATGATTGAAATACATGTACCTCAAATACCTGCTGTATCATTTTGAATAGACATTTTAAATTTTGTTTTTAGTTTGTCTCATGTACGAAATATTTAGTAAACAAATCCAAATTTCTGCATTTGGCAGGCACTTTTATCCAAAGCGACTTGCGCTGCATGCAGACGACAAATTTAAAGTTCAGGCATTATGTGGGAATCAAGCCCATGATATCAGCATTGCTAGCACCATGCTCTGCTGTTTGAGCTAGAACTCTTTTATTCATCTGTAATCTCAGTAACAATATAACATTTTTTCTTGCCATTACAAAATCAGCAGGGGTTTTTGTTGTTGTTGTTGAAAATTAGAAGTCCTTTTTCCTGAGGATCATGGATAAGCAAATATGCACCAAATATGATAGATACAACATTTTAGGGTTAAGCATACTAACTGATTACATCACTGATGATTTTCACTCCTTTATCCTCAGAATGAAGTCAATGCAATCAAATGGGATCCAACAGGAAATCTCTTGGCCTCCTGCTCTGATGACATGACCCTAAAGGCGAGATACAGCCAACCAGCCATTTCTCTTTTGATGATTTAGCTTTTTACTAATGTGTTTGCATTAAAGTGCCCCTATTATGCCATTTTTATGGTTCCTAAAATGTTATTTATTTAAAGTCTCCTACAATAGGATTACATGCATGCAAGGTCAAACAAATCTTTCGTTTTTTCAAAATATGCATTTAATATCACCTCATTTTCCAGCGATTCTCAAACGATTCGTTCGAAGCAGTTCAAAGATTCAGTCTCTCTAAACCCCTCCTTTCCGTGAGCCTCCTCTGCTCTGATTGGTCAGATGACCTAGTCTGTTGTGATTGGTCTACGGCGTACAGCGCGTTTCGTAAACGATACGCCTATTTCAATAGTTCTGTATTTTGAACGCTCTATAGAAAATATAAACATCTATTATTTATCATACTTACAGGTTGTGATTCAGTGGAGCAGCTGGTCCAAATAAACAGGATACTGATCCATCTTTCAACAGCAAGCATTTTGTGAATCCCGCGTTGAACTCGCCGAGATTAGAGAAGCAGTCGTCAGTAGAATGACGTGTTTGTGGGTGGGGTCAAGTTGTTCGCGGCCGGCCAACGTAGAATATAGGCGAGCATTATGCAAATGTGTTACCCCGTGACGTGTAGCCGTCACGGAAGTGGGATTCGAATTACTAACGACTCGTTTCAGCTGTCAGAGTCTATTCTTTATTTTGGGAGACAATAACTTTATTTATTGTGCACTTTCAGCTTTACAACTTTGCAGATCGTTTACATTCACATACAGCTACATTACACAACTGCATGAAAGGCAATATTTGAAATGGCATAATAGGGG